AACTTGCCGTCGAACGACAGATGATAGCCTTGCTACAGCAGCAAGGCTATCATCAGTCGATGGACGCACATGCGTCGACCCAAAATCTTGAAGATTGATATCTCAAGGCAAAAAGGAATCGATGAAGATTCTCTTTTGAGATGGTTCCTCGAGTTAGACGATGCCATCAGGGCCCGTTACATCGAGGGTGACGAGATGCAAGTCACCTTAGCCCTGTAAAATTTGACAGGACGAGCAAACTCTTGGGCCTTATGGCTCAAGCTTCACGACCCAATCGTGTTTGAATCGTTTGAGATCTTGAAGTCTCAACCCAAAGAGACGTTTGAGCCGCCGAGAGCCGAGCTCAGAGCACGCTCTGCACTCTTAAGGCTAAAGCAAGGTAAGCGTGGTGTGCACGCTTACGCACAACACCTACGCTACCTTGCGAGTAGCGTTACAGAGAACCCTGTTGACTAGCACACGCTCATCAACGTGTTCATCTACGGCCTTGTAGTTGGGTCGGTGAAGACCTACAAGTTCCGAGAGGACTTCCATACGCTGGAAAGGGCGATAGCGTATGCGGAACAGGAGAACTTCAGCCTATGACAGTCTCAGGCAAACCCATCTAACTGTCGTTCAACATAACGACAGGAATCCGGAGGTTTCAAACCAATGGATCTCTTTGTATCGATACCGAGAACTATCGCTTTCTGAGTCACAAGCGAACGGCAAGATGCTATCGCTGCCAGAAGATTGGACACTAAGCTCATGAGCATAGTGTCCCGAGCACCGCAACACGTCCAAAGACAGGACGTGATGACCGCCGTTGGCCAAGGAAGGGTCCAAGGCGCGGGTCCGACCCTGGTGCTAAGCTGCGACAGCAAGTGGGACCGCCAAAAAACGGTCAGGGTTTGCAGGGTTGGATTACCCTATTGATTTAGCAACGTCAAGAGAATTTGCAAGACTCTTGACGAAGATTGCTCCAACACACAGTCGCTGTGTGTTACTGCCCTTAGTGATGATGTGGCACTCATCACTTTGAAGATCGAAGTAACAAGTGGAATGTCACTTTGCGCCCTAGTTGACTATGGTGCGTCGAACATTTTTAGTCGACGCCAGTCGCTATAGGATAGCAGTCTCAGCTATGTTGATCGAGCGTTCTCTCCGACGCGGATGACGGTGTGCCTTGCTACAGACGCATCCGTAACAGTGAACAAACGTGTAGTGGCAATCCACTACACGCTAGAAGGAAAACAACACGATGATGAATTCATCGTACTGGATTCGGATGACAAAATCGATGTCATCCTTGGTCTACCATAACTTCGAACACACCAGCCATGGATAGTTGGTAGCATTGATCCGTGAAGCTGCCTGCCGTTCGTTCATCGTATGGCCATCTGACGAACGTCTTGGAGCGTGTGATGGCCTCACTTATGGTACGGTCGTTATTGCGACTGCACCAAATCACAGTGTAGAAGACCACTGCACTGTGGGATCATCTTCCGGCACCTGTGTAGAGACACAGGCTACGCCGAAGGTTCACCACTCGAAAAGATGTAGTGGATTGGAACACGGATGCACACCAAGCAGGGTGCATCCAAGAGGAGATGTTAGAGTTGTTCTGAAATGGTTCATTTTAAACAACACATTAAAGCTAAATCGACTGACAGAAAGCCAATGTCAAAGCAAACACAATCAACAGAAAGATATTCCTGAGAGTGACACTCCCGAGAGAGTTATGTTGAGCGTGTGGATCCCCAACAACCTACGATTTTTCCCCCACGAAAGCACCAAGACAGTGAATATCTTGGTGAATGACGGATCAAGTGTAGGCGCTTATGCTTTTTGATCTTACGACACCTCCGAAGTCAGCTTCGGAGGTAATCAAGTCGCCAACGCTAGAATCTAAACGATTCTTGCAAGATCTGCGTTCTCGTTACAAAGGACGAGTACGTCGCCGATATTCGGTCGGCAGAGTGTTCACTGAGAACGAACGGGTTCTCAGTAGCTCATCGATGGACGAGAGTGTCCTCGATGAGAAGACTCGGATCGAGCGATACACTTCTCAATCTTAGGAGTCTCCTAAAGACAAATTCTTTTTGTAAGGATTTGGTCAAATTCAAGGATATTTTCCCTGAATCCGTGCCATGCAAGTTGCCCAAAGACACAAGCACTCGGCATGAGATCGAACTGAAATCTGGTTCGAAATACTGTGTCATGAAGCAGTGGCCACTGCCTCGTGAATGGGTCACATCGATCGACAAGTTCTTTGCTGATCGCTTAGCGGCTATTCATGTGAGGGAATCAACATTCCCACACAGCTCTACACCTTCTGTGTGGGAAAAGCCACAGGAGGGTGGCGGATAGTGCACGCGTTCCACAAATTGAATGCTGCAACAGTACCGGCTCAAACACCGATTCCAAGAAAGAATGTCATCACAGATGGTATGTCAAAGAGTACCATCTAAACGTCCAAGAATTTGATGGATGGATTCTATCAGATCCTCATGCGTGAACGGTATATCCCGTACACAGCAGTGAGCACCCCCAGTGGTATGCTCTGGGAGTGGCTAGTGATGCCACAGGAGCTTAGTAACGCCCCCTCAACGTTTTACAGATGTATAACGAATCTGTTGCGATCGGTGCGCTAATTCGCACCGAGTTACTTCGGCGATGTCTTCGTCGATGTCTTCGTCCCATAGCCGGGCTATGGATGGAAAGACGGGCGTGGAAGTTCATAGAATCCACGTCCAGAAGGTTCTTACTCTAATGCGAGAGCATACGTTGTTCGCGAACCTCAAGAAGTGTAAATTTGCAGCGAACGAAATACCACTTCTTGGCTGCACCGTGGGTAAAAACGGCGTACGCCCTGATCCGGAAAGATCAAGGCGATTAGCGACTGGCCTGTGACAGTCTACGTTGAGTAACTTCGAAAGTTCCTCGGCTTAGCAGCGTACTTGCACAAATACTCACGCAACTACGCCGAGATGACCGTTCATCTCTTTCGTTTGATAAAGAAAAACGAAAGGTGGTCATGGAGTGCTGAGTGTCAGTACTCCTTCGAAGGTACTGAAAAAGCTTGATACAATCGTCTGTCTTGGCGATTGCAGATCAGGATAAGCCATTTCATGTGGTCTGTGACGCCAGCGATTTTGCAATCGTCTGCGCGTTATCGCAGTACGACTCAGACGGCGTTGAGCGCGTTGTTTGTTATCAATCGCGTCAGCTGCAAGCAGCTAAGTGAAATTATCCGGTGCATGACAAGGAACGCCTTGCCATGAAATATGCACTGGCCAAGGTTCGGGTATATCTCTTAGGAGATAGGCAGTTCATCGTTTACCGACCATGCGTCGTCACGCACGGCCGTAAACAGTCCACACCTCTCACAACAAATGGCGCGGTGGTTGTCATTCTTCGCGAAGTACAACTTCTCCGTCGGGTATAAAATAGGACGACTAAATGTCGTCGCCGATGCTCTTTCGCGTCGGCCCAATTTCGAGCTGACTGCTTAACCCAACAGTAGGGGTGATCCCACTGTAGCAGCACTAGCAGTGAGTATTCCGTTGTCGAATCTGCTCGACGAAGTGCAAAAAGCATACGCAGAAGATGAGTCTCTTCTGCGGCTGATGGATTACGAATCCAATCCAAGCGGTCGAGTTTTTAAAAGCTTCTCGTCTCAATACCGCTCTTCAACCGAACAATATTCGGTTCGTGATGGACTGCTGTACTATACAGCAGTCTACGGCGACACACCTCGTGTCGTCGTTCCCGTACATGATGATTTGCGATTGCGCAGCATGTATGAGGGTCACGATGCACCAACAAGTGAGCATTGAGAAAAGACTTACCTTACGGTAAATCGTGACTCCTACTGGCCATTCCAGTGTGATTTCTTGCACAAATTTGTCCGGGCTCGCAAAAAAAGTTTGCCAACGGGTGAAGCTTAGTTCTTCATCCCCTGCCCCCCTTGCAGCCTCTTCCAATTCCGACAGAGTGCTGGAAGTCCGTATCGATGGACTTCGTCTTCGTGTTTCCCAAAGACGTTCACAAGAATAGGGGTATTCTTGTGTTTGTTGATCGGTTCAGCTAGATACTACATCTTGTTGCTACACCGGAGTCAATCACATTCCATAGCTGTGCGCGTGTCTTCATCGATACTATCTTCCGACTTCACGGATTACCCCATGAACTCGTGTCTAACAGGGCCCTTCGCTTCACAGCGAAGTTCTGGCAGTACATGCTCCATAACTTGGAACATGGTCAAATATATCTACTTCTGACCATCTTGAAAGGTATGGTCAGACAGAACGCCTCCATCGCTTCCTCGAAGAGATACATCGAGGGTACGTTTACTCTTTTACGAGTTGGAGTGAATACTTGCCGATGGCGGAAGTCGCCATCAACAAATCGGTGCACGCGTCGACAACGCACAAACCGTTCTTCTTAAATATCCTACGCCATCCACGTTTACCCGCCTTTTCATAGTGTGGCCTTAGCTTAAGGGGGCGGGGGGTGGACTCGCTCGAACAAAAACCGATCTAGTTCTTGCTCATCACCCTTCGACAAAGGTGTCGACGTAATGGATAGCGATGTCGATGCGATTGATATCGATGATGACGACGATACTGGTATATTCAGCATCGCCAATGACTGCCAAAGTGAGGACGATGACACCCTCACTGGTGAAGGCAACGCTCTTTCAGCAGCGCACACGAAGCGCACTGCTGCTGACAAGGATGAATCAGCAGAGGAATTTCTGCTGACTCGCGAGGCGGTTCTCCACTTCGTTCAAGACGCTACTATAGACGCGATCAAAAAACAAAACATAATGGCAGACAAACAGGGAAGAGAAAATGCTCGTTCATTTGATGAAGGAGACCTATTTTTACTGTCAACAGTAAATGTAACAAAACGTGCAGTGTCCAACGTGGGCAGCAGTTAATTACTGCTTAAGTATATCGGTCCATTGTGTTTTGCGCCGAATGGGAAACGCATACACGATTTAACTGCCCCGTACGATGCGCACGAATCCTACGTTTTACGCCGGTCGCCTCCGCCCGTACTATCAGTACGAGCCCGTTTCGAGAGGCGAAAGACACCTCCGCGGTCAAGGACCGAGACCACCTTCGAGTGGTCCCGTTCCAACGAGCCAGCCTCGTCGACTGGCGAAGAGACCTGCTCACGCAGTTAAGCGACGTCCTGAAGCGCTGCAGTCAGCTCGTCACGAAGACAATAAATATGGGGTGATTTCTCAAGTTGCGCGAACGCAAAAGCGGCACAATCGTTCGATTGATCGTACGTTAGGGAATTGTAATAATCCCTTACAAGATCCTCAAGCCCATAACGCCCAGTCCGTTCAGGAGCCAAGTCATCTTGAAACTGTTCCGTTACACGGTCGAGCTCTTGAACATCAAGCTGATCCGACCCTCGAGCCGGATCAGGTGTTCCGACCGCCACCACATCCTTTGGTGGACTCAAGCGGTGGTCAACGCTTTCTAGTGGAGCGTATTTTGAACCACCTCGATTTGAATGGCTTCCAAACGAGTAACCTCGTCCTCTGACGTGGCTATCCACCGGCGCGGGACAGCCGGGAGCCTCGTGCCCAGCTGATTGTTGATGTTCTGGGTCTCGTCGAGCAATATGATGAGACTTACCCGCTGCGTTCGAAGAAGGGACGTCCGAAAACGACCTCCCCAAACGCGAGTACAGGGATTGCAAAGTGTCAATCCCTTCGGCTATCTCAGAAGAGATGCGCGCCTTCCAGTAGGAAACATTAGGGAGGTAGGCCTTCCTAGGGGGTACGGTTCGAGCTGTCCAGGCAACCTGGACACGAATCACCCCACGAGAGACAGGGTAATCCTGCCTCTATTGACAATCGATGCAACTTGAATTGACACCGACTGGGTTCTCCTCTTAAACCGGATGCGAGCTGCATCAAGTTTACCGAGCCAGGCCTCACAGCCAATTCTCTAAAAGTTATGGATGAAGGCATTTCATCATCGAAGGAAGGCCTTACCGTTTCGGCCAAGATTGCCATTTGTACCACCGATTTTGAGTGTAAACATCGGTGAAAAACTCTTTCTCAAAACGGATAGTTTTCGTGCTGGAATTAGGAGGACAGGTCCTCGTACAGTTGAACAACGGGATTCGATCCCGTTCGGTGGTCATACCGGCCACTCGATCTATTTATTTGGATATTGGCATTCAAGGAGACTCCACTTGAGGAGCGTGGCGAAGGACATTTCGGTCCCTGGCCTCTTACGTGGTGTCAGCATGAGCACTGACACCACTTCCAGCTCGATCACTTGATTTGCTCCTCTCTTGGTGACGCATAGGTGAGTCACCACCATCACCGCCCAATCTAGTGTCAGATGGACCTGCGTGAGACGAGGATTCATCAGACGAATCGCTCGGTCCGATTATCTTGGACATCATGCCGCCACGTTCCTTAGAGCCATTCAACCTGGCTCTGCCAGTGTCCGACCCGGATGATCCGGAGGCAGGAGGTGCCGCCTTCGAGTTGGATGCATTATCAGACTCTTCAGAATAGATGAGCTCTATTTCAAGCTCATCTACATTGCAAGGCACAGCACCCGCTGCAGACGTAGCAGATGTAACTGTCGCATGTTGTTGACTTACCACGTGGACAAGTCGCAACAGGCCCTGCCGTTTGTGTTAACATTAGGTGATGCGACATGTGTGATATGGACATTAGGATGGATTAGTGTGTCCATGGGTTAGAGGTTAGTATCAGTAGTACTACATGTAGACCAAGCTTGCTGTAGCTCAAGTGGTTATGTGTGGAAGCCGTAACCTAGAGGTCACTGGTTCGATACCCGGCAGCAAAAGTTAAACCTGGTCCTGGTGTTTGGGGTTCACCAGCACTGTCCTGCCAGACAGTGACGTCCCCCATTTTGTGTGTCAACGGAAAGCTGTGTGCCACATCAGAGATCCCGTTATAGGAACGGAACATGGGAAAGGAACATGGGAAAGGATTTGCTGCATTGATGGGACGGGTAGCATGAAGAATGGATCGGAAGGATGAGTAGCAACGGTAGGAACGAGTTGGCACTCAAAACATAATTCACTTTTGGTTTTGCTACTTCGACCAACAGTCATCTTCACTTCAACGCTCTGCTAACTTTAACAGGTTGTGAGCCCAAGTAACGACTCCACGCCCAAGGTGGCACAGTTTGACGGCACAAACTATCCGTTATGGGCGTTCAAGATGAAGATGTACCTCATCTCCAAGGGGTTATGGGAAGCGGTTAACGCCACATCTGGCGTCTCCGAGGCGAAGGAGCAGCAGGCGCATGCGGCAATCGTGCTCAACTTGAGCGATACTCAGCTCATGCATGTCATTACAACGAGTAGTGCATGCGAAGCATGGGGAGCACTCGCGCGAGTTCATCGGACCCAAGACATGGCAAGTCGGCTGTGGCTAAAGGAGAAGTTTGCGACATTCAAGTTTGCGGCATCGGACATGAGCGCCCACGTTATGGAGCTGGAGCGGCTCGTGCTGGAAATGAATGGAGCTTCGTGTGGACCAAGTGAAGAAGATTCGTGTGCAACGTTGCTGCGAAGTCTCCCGGCGCAATACGAGGGACTGGTGCAGGCTTTTCGCATGAGCGTCACACAATTCAGCTTTAAAGATCTGGTGAGCAAGCTGATCGCCGAGGAAGTGCGCAAGAAGGATTCGACGCGCATTAAAAACGAGACAGCGATACATGTTGGCAAACGACAGGAGAAGAAAAGCTTTAACAAAACTAGCGGTGGTCCGCGGAAGACAGGGTCAAGTGTTCAGTGCTTTTATTTGTGGTAAGCGCGGACACTACGCGCGAGACTGCAGGAAAAAGAAAGCTGCTAATGGCGAGAGACAAGAAGATCACTCGAATGTGGCGTTCACAGTCACTCAAGGAAATATGAGCGACTGCTGGATCATGGACAGCGGCGCAACGGCGCACATGTGCAAGGACAAAGACGCGTTTATCGAATATACAGCATCACCGACGACACGCAATGTGAAAAGCGCGAAAAACAGTGCAAGCTTAAAGGTGCTTGACAAGGCACGGTGATCTTGCGTGTTTGGAATGGCACATTGTGGATTAATGCCCGGCTGGAAAATACACTACACGTGCAAGATCTCAACAAGAACCTGTTCTCAGTGACATCAGCTACTGCACGCGGGATGACGGTTGAAATCACCAGCGACGGGTGCACTGTTTTAAAGAGCGGGCGAATCGTCGCGACAGGAAAGCGATGTGGTATGCTTATCAATCTAAATGTCGAAGAAAGTCCACAATGCCATATGGTGGAGGGTGAAGCTGAACTGTGGCACCGCCGACTTGTACACGTGTCATACTCGACTGTGAACAAGCTGATTCACGGAAAGCTGTGTGCCACATCAGAGATCCCGTTATAGGAACGGAACATGGGAAAGGAACATGGGAAAGGATTTGCTGCATTGATGGGACGGGTAGCATGAAGAATGGATCGGAAGGATGAGTAGCAACGGTAGGAACGAGTTGGCACTCAAAACATAATTCACTTTTGGTTTTGCTACTTCGACCAACAGTCATCTTCACTTCAACGCTCTGCTAACTTTAACAGTTTGCTCACTTAAACAGCAGACTAATTAGCACGTGCTGCTGAAGCTTTGAGAAGTGCTCTCTTTGGCTGCACGCATGCGTGCAAGCTCCTTCTAGGCTGCTTCAGCAGCACATGGCATGGATTTCAAAACCATGCAATCAATTGGCAAATGAGTCGGAACTTGACCAACAAGTGCTCCCGTTCCTAAAGTGATCCAACAATGATCACCTTGTCCCCAACAAATGTGATTTTATATACAGGTGAATGATATTGAAAGAGAGGGGGGGTGATGTAACAGGGTAGCCCTTTACATGATGTTGACACCAAACGGTGTCAACAGGGAGATTATCTAGCGTGACAATCTCCTGCCAATATCATCTGAGATAGGCAATATTGAAGGATCAACCCCCCCTTATGATCTTGTTCACCGGCTGCTCGAAGATTGGTCGATAAAAGATATGTCAACCATAGATTGCCACCAATTGCTGCTAGACGCGCGTAATGAGTGGTGAGCAGGTTGCCGTCATACGACGACGTAGTTTAATACAGTTCGATAAAAGCTGAAGTTAAATTGATAGCTTAACTATATTAAATACAGTTATCTTTTACCTTTACTTGAACGAGTCGTTCAAGTAGATTAGCTTCCTCTGCACGTTTTAGTGTACGTGAAGTTTCGTGGCACCTGGACAAAGGGTGCCATGTTACACTTAATGTATTCCAAAGTCGTGCACATACTCTTTACCTTCAATTGTACAATTGGAGCACCCTTTCTCTCTCGTAACTCGAACACTGAGAATATCGGTACATCCCGCTTGTTGCGAGCCCGAAGGGTGGAGTTTTTATTGACTCTGCGCAAGGTGGATGCCGAGCTTTTTAAATCTTACTTATCTGCGCTTGTCTGCCGGTGTGCAACTAACGCCTGGTGTACCTTTCACGTCAATCTAAGTGCTTCGTAGTCTGTGCCCTCTATTTAGGCATCACGCTTTGATGAGGTCACTAATTTGTGACTGCAAGGATGTAATGTTTACACTCGCGCATGTTTGGCTTAAAGTGATGAAAAGGGCGGACAGAGTGCTAAGAAGCAAATGCTAGACACTCAGAGGCAGCGAGAAAGTCGCGCATTTCGCAGACAGTAAGTGTGAGTGGTTTTGATCTGAAAACCTTGAAATAGTAAGAGGTCAAGGTCACGGCATTTATCGGTAGCAGTGGAAGATCATTTCCTTTAGTTTCTCTTCAGCACGGAAATTGTAACGGGGCACCCTGAAGCTTGTACTGGTGACAGTACAAGCTACTTATTCTGATAACAGAATAAGGCGGTGCCTCGTAACTTCACGTACACTCGTACGTGCAGAGGAAGACGGTAAGAAGAAGCGAGTACTTGGTTAAAGTAAAAAGTAGAACTGTATTTATAATAGTTAATGTCTGCAATAAATCACTATTTATCTTCATCTAACTATGTCTAAATACAAATGTGCATATCAACTATCTGCTCACCACTCATTGCGTGCGTCTGTCGTGGCGCGTCTTCGTTGGTTGATATAATGGCCTATATCAACCAATTAGGAACTACTCGTAAGTGCTACAGAATATTTGTCCTTATGACAATATTCTGTGAATACAACTCTTATAGTTATATTCTATTAACAATTTCTTACAAATTGTTATGTAACGATTCACCCCGTTACATCAAGGATCCATCACCTTGACCCCTGCGCGAAAAACTATCGCGCTGAGAATGAGTTCTTCATCGATATTTTGTTTAGACATCGATGGTACAGTGGGAATCACAAACGTGATGGTCCCTCACTGCTTCAGGCGTGGAACGCCTACATCCATAACCTTGAGGATGTAGGTCGTGACGCTTGGAATGACAAACTTATCAAAGCTCGTGATAAGTTTGAAAAGCGAACCCCGACAGGTGCACGCTACAAGCTGCATCGTCTGTCAAGGGAAAAAGGATTACCCTGCCTCT